GCAATAAGGCATCCGCCACCTTCCTTGTTTTGGTCTGAACGGATTGTGTCTTTCATTTGTCTGCCAAAATGTTTTCGGCTTACTTGCCGCATGTTATTTTTTTTTCATGAGTAACCTATATTCATTGTGGTTGCAAGTTTTTTCATTGTAGTTTCAGAGGGATTCAAACTTTTTAAAGCTTTAAATTATGATCTTTTTTTGTCTTACTGGTGTCTGCTTCAACATTCGCGACTTTGTTCATCCTTCGTTAGTTTTTTTCCGTTACTAAAGCATTTTTCAAGGAACGGAAAAGTACATTCGTGTATTTTTCAGTAGACCTAATTTTTCAACCGTTTCTTTTTTTGAATACTTATGAATTTGTTGTATCGCAGGTTGAGTAAAGCTCCACTTCGCCTCTCTGTTGGTTTTGCGAGCCAGTGGAAGTTGATATGGCGTTGGTTCCGGAGCGAGATGAAATGTGCACGAGGGGTAGTAGAAATACCGATGATGTTGCCCGGCCTTTGTTTAAAATGTATTCAATCACAAACGTGACATCAAACGCTACCTTGAGTTTGTTTAGTTGGTAAGTTACCGGAAAGTTACGTGGTTTCGATTTAAGTCTGGAGTAGTTCTAGTATAAGCAGACGGAGCAGCTTTGACCGCTATAGGCGCTCCGTAATAAAAATCACAGACTACTGAGAATTCCCCTAAACATGGGTGGGTGGTTGTCTTGCCGCCTTTTTTTTATCATGGAGAGCCAAGAATCGAATCCATCCTTTGAAGGCGTCGTCGTTGGGGTTCCGGCTTTTTTGTTGAGTCATGTTAAATATTCTAATGCACGGCACATCACCTCACATTCACATGGTTATAACTAAATTCAGTATGGTTGCCATTTTAGCATGTTTTTTTTAAAAGAACGTTTGAAGCGTATATGCTTGTTCGGAGCAGAAAAAATTCAGTATTGATAAAAAATTTAGATGTTGATTAAAAATTTAGATTTGAAATTAAAATTCAACGAACTTTAACAAAGAAGTTTGATTTAAAGTTTTAAATACAAAATAACAGTTTGAGGGTTTGTTTTGGCTAGTTTTTAGTAAGTCGAAAAATTGCACCGCAAGTCACGTAATCGTGCATCACAAAATTAGTTTATTCATTTTTTGAGCAAAATTGAGCAGTGAGATTTCAGAAACAAAATATTTTTCAATGATTGACTCAATCTTTCGCATATATGCGACTCAATTTTGCTTCTAGTTAAAAAAGAGCTTTTATAACTTGTGCTAAAACCCATGTTCACTTTTGCGAGCAAAAGTTTTATTGATGAATTTGTGTGCAAAGTTTTTGCTGCTTTAAACAGTGCTGATTTAAATTAACCTGACGAAAGCGTTGAACTTGAAATTTAAAACGCGTTTTGCTCAAATTGGGTTGAGTTTAGGTGAAAGCTTATGAAGACAAAACTTGCTTAGAATTTTAACAGAAATAATATGGTGCAATTTGTTTTGCGAAATTCGGGCCTAAAATTTTACCCCAAAAATGGGTCATTTTCGCTTTTCTTAGTTAATCAAAAATTACGCCAAAAATACCCAGTCGATCACAGACATAATTATATCAAAGTGAGCCCCTCACGTAGCCAAACAAACTTTAAGAAGGCTATAATCTCTAAAATATTGTATAAGTTAATATATTTTAGCTTGATCGACAAAAAAGGTCGTTTTTACTAAATAAATTACCAACTTTTTATTTAAAAACAATTTTAAAACGGTTTGCAATTTTTTTGGAGAATATACTCTTCTTAACGTTTGTTGGGCTACACAAAGGGCTCAGTTTGATATAATTATGTCTGTGATCGACTGGGTATTTTTGGCGTAATTTTTGATTAACTAAGAGTGCTGTGTGGTTTCCATGGTCTGATTGATTTGGCGGCCGCGGTCTCTTTCAACAGCAAAAAAATCTAACTTCGGAGAAAGAGACGGGGTGAAGTGGCGATGACGCTCGGCAAGGATGTGGTGGTTTGCTGCCCTGAGCACCAGATCCCTGAAGAGTTTTTCCTGTCGCAAATGAGGAGGGAATCTCCGAAACGAGGAAACCTGCCTCAATTTCTACGGTAAATTGCCGCCAATCAGTCCTGACGAAGTGTATGTTTGTCTTTTTTGGAGAAAAGTGTATGTCGTTATTGAGAGTAAATTCGATAAGTATGAGGTGGTTGGATTCTGGGGATTTCATTGGGATCCAGGATGCAGAAAGTAAACGGGATTGCGATGCAAAGGAAATGTCAGGCGAAGATTGGTGGGCATCAGAATTAAAATGTACGCCTGTTTAGAAGTCTTCATTTAATGGTGCAAAAGTGGATTCAGTAATTTTATTAGAGCACTTGACCACGTTGATCTTCTTCAATAATAGAGTTCCAGAGGGAAGAATAGGCGTTGGCGTCATCCAGTACCAGAGCATCACCAGAACTAAGAGGTTAGAAGGAATGTGGTATAACTGGGAAGGCAACTTGATCTAGGGGTATTTAGAAGTTACTAATACGAAATTTCGTTGAACTGGCTACCACAGAGATACACATAGCCTCTAGCTTACCGTCGGTGTTTACAGTAAGTTCTTCGTACTGTATAAATTCGTGGATAGCAATAAGGCATCCGCCACCTTCCTTGTTTTGGTCTGAACGGATTGTGTCTTTCATTTGTCTGCCAAAATGTTTTCGGCTTACTTGCCGCATGTTATTTTTTTTTCATGAGTAACCAAGTTTCATTTTGGTTGCAAGTTTTTTCATTGTAGTTTCAGAGGGATTCAATTTTTTTAAAGCTTTAAATTATGATCTTTCTTTGTCTTACTGGTGTCTGCTTCAACATTCGCGACTTTGTTCATCCTTCGTTAGTTTTTTTCCGTTACTAAAGCATTTTTCAAGGAACGAAAAAGTACATTCGTGTATTTTCAGTAGACCTAGTTTTTCAACCGTTTCTTTTTTTGAATACTTATGAATTTGTTGTATCGCAGGTTGAGTAAAGCTCCACTTCGCCTCTGTTGGTTTTGCGAGCCAGTGGAAGTTGATATGGCGTTGGTTCCGGAGCGAGATGAAATGTGCACGAGGGGTAGTAAAAATACCGATGATGTTGCCCGGCCTTTGTTTAAAATGCATTCAATCACAAACGTGACATCAAACGCTACCTTGGGTTTGTTTAGTTGGTAAGTTACCGGAAAGTTACGTGGTTTCGATTTAAGTCTGGAGTAGTTCTAGTATAAGCAGACGGAGCAGCTTTGACGGCTATAGGCGCTCCGTAATAAAAATCACAGACTACTGAGAATTCCCCTAAACATGGGTGGGTGGTTGTCTTGCCGCCTTTTTTATCATGGAGAGCCAAGAATCGAATCCATCCTTTGAAGGCGTCGTCGTTGGGGTTCCGGCTTTTTTGTTGAGTCATGTTAAATATTCTAATGCACGGCACATCACCTCACATTCACATGGTAATAACTAAATTCAATATGGTTGCCATTTTAGCATGTTTTTTTAAAAAAAAAGAATGTTTGAAGCGTATAAGCGTGTTCGGAGCAGAAAAAACTCAGTATTGATAAAAAATGCAGATTTTGATAAAAAATTTAGATTTGAAATTAAAATTCAACGAACTTTAACAAAGAAGTTTGATTTAAAGTTTTAAATACAAAATAACAGTTTGAGGGTTTGTTTTGGCTAGTTTTTAGTAAGTCAAAAAATTGCACCACAAGTCACGTAATCGTCCATCACAAAATTAGTTTATTCATTTTTTGAGCAAAATTGAGCAGTGAGATTTCAGAAACAAAATCTTTTTCAATGATTGACTCAATCTTTCGCATATATGCGACTCAATTTTGCTTCTAGTTAAAAAAGAGCTTTTATAACTTGTGCTAAAACCCATGTTCACTTTTGTGAGCAAAAAGTTTTATTGATGAATTTGTGTGCAAAGTTTTTGCTGCTTTATACAGTGCTGATTTAAATTAACCGGACGAAAGCGTTTAACTTGAAATTTAAAACGCGTTTTGCTCAAATTGGGTTGAGTTTAGGTGAAAGCTTATGAAGATAAAATTTGCTTAGAATTTTAACAGAAATAATATGGTGCAATTTGTTTTGCGAAATTCGGGCCTAAAATTTTACCCCAAAAATGGGTCATTTTGGCTTTTCTTAGTTAATCAAAAATTACGCCAAAAATACCCAGTCGATCACAGACATAATTATATCAAAGTGAGCCCCTTACGTAGCCCAACAAACTTTAACAAGGCTATAATCTCCAAAATATTGTATAAGCTAATATATTTTTGCTTGATAGACAAAAAAGGTCGTTTTTACAAAATAAATTACCAACTTTTTATTTAAAAACAATTTTTAAACGGTTTGCCATTTTTTTTTGGAGAATATACTCTTCTTAAGGTTTGTTGGACTACACAAGGGGCTCAGTTTGATATAATTATGTCTGTGACCGACTGGGTATTTTTGGCGTAATTTTTGATTAACTAAGAAAAGCCAAAATGACCCATTTTTGGGGTAAAATTTTGGGCCTGAATTTCGCAAAACAAATTGCACCATAATAATTCTGTTAAAATTCTAAGCAAGTTTTGTCTTCATAAGCTTTCACCTAAACTCAACTCAATCTGAGAAAAATGCCCTTTAAATTTCAAGTTTAACGCGTTTTGTCCGGTTAATTTAAATCAGCACTGTAGCCTTTAACAAATTTATTGGACAACGTCCTAAATTTTCTGAACTAATTCTGACCTTGAGGCAGTGAAATGGCGTGAAAACTGCGATCGGTTTTTCAAAACTACATTTGAACTGACAAAAGAGCAGTGCAAAATAATTGCGCTTTTTCGGAGATTTTCATTTTTTCTCATTTCAAGAGCTCAATTGAAAAAAGAAAGAAATTTGTCATTCAACAACGGTTTGCCATGCAATTTTTGAGAGCTAAAAACACATAAAATGCCGACAAAAAACAAACGCGAAACTTAAAGAAATATTTCGATTTTCTCTAAATTTTATGGTCAGAATTACTTCAGAAATTTAATAAGTTAAGTTGTCCGATAAATTTGTTAAAAGCTGTATGAGTGATTTATGTCTGCTTAATTTCAACGCATTCAATGCAACTATACTAGCCTATGTTGTACAGTCAGTTCGGCTATAATCTCCAAAATATTGTATAAGCTAATATATTTTTGCTTGATAGACAAAAAAGGTCGTTTTTACTATATAAATTACCAACTTTTTATTTAAAAACAATTTTTTAACGGTTTGCAATTTTTTTTGGAGAATATACTCTTCTCAACGTTTGTTGGGCTACACAAGGGGCTCAGTCTGATATAATTATGTCTGTGATCGACTGGGTATTTTTGGCGTAATTTTTGATTAACTAAGAAAAGCCAAAATGACCCATTTTTGGGGTAAAATTTTGGGCCCGAATTTCGCAAAACAAATTGCACCATATTAATTCTGTTAAAATTCTAAGCAAGTTTTGTCTTCATAAGCTTTCACCTTAACTCAACTCAATCTGAGAAAAATGCGTTTTAAATTTCAAGTTTAACGCGTTTTGTCCGGTTAATTTAAATCAGCACTGTAGCCTTTAACAAATTTATCGGACAGCGTCCTAAATTTTCTGAAATAATTCTGACCTTGAGGCAGTGAAATGGCGTGAAAACTGCGATCGGTTTTTCAAAACTACATTTGAACTGACAAAAGAGCAGTGCAAAATAATGGCGCTTTTTCGGAGATTTTCATTTTTTCTCATTTCAAGAGCTCAATTGAAAAAAGAAAGAACTTTGTCATTCAACAACGGTTTGCCATGCAATTTTTGAGAGCTTAAAACACATAAAATGCCGACAAAAAACAAACGCGTAACGTAAAGAAATATTTCGATTTTCTCTAAATTTTATGGTCAGAATTACTTCAGAAATTTAATAAGTTAAGTTGTCCGATAAATTTGTTAAAAGCTATATGAGTGATTTATGTCTGCTTAATTTCAACGCATTCAATGCAACTATACTAGCCTATGTTGTACATTCAGTTCGGATGAAGGTGTTGGTTGATGAGAATAGCTTTGAGCAGGATATACACTTTATCTCCTGTTGTCGCGGAATTTTCAATGCCCAGTTTGGTGTTTTATTGTTCCGACCACTGAACTCGTAGGGGTTGGAAATTTTTTTCTTGTGTTTTTTTTTCAATTTTTTTTTCGCTCAAAATCAGGTAACACAAACGAATGTCAGATGGGCTAGAGTGATATATTACTTTAAATCCCTTTCAATTGTGGTGTTACAAAATCTAGATAAATGTCTCATCGATCTTTTAGTCAGATTCAGTGCGAGTGAAGCAAAAAAATCTGTGTTAGCTTTAAAAATTGAAGCATTAAACGTTTTTGCATCACGAAATGTTTGAAAAATACAATAAACCCGAGACAAAATCTTTGATTTTTTGGGTAAGAAATTCTTTTTGATGAGAAAACTAGCGTTTTCCTTTTTGGTTAGAGATTTTGCAAATATAAACGTAGTTGAATCAAACCTTAACCTATGTTTCTATATGTTTCTAAGATTGAAGTTTGACATAATTCCTCCTCCTTTTACTCGCAAGAAAATTGGCGCAAATTTGAAAAAAGAATTTTCTTGAAAAAATTACTGCGGCCAGAAACTTTATTGAATCTGGTTCAAATTTGTGCATAAGATCTTTTTGTTCCGACTTCTGTAACGAAAGCATCTTTTTTTTTTACCTTTGATCATTTTTCGTTAAGTTATGATGTATAAAGTTTGCCCATTTTGGCCAATTTGGGACAATTAACGCACGATATAATTCGCGCTAAGGACGCTTGTTTGCTATAATCGATTTTTTTACTAGGAGCGAAATCTATCACTTTGTACTTAATATGGCGTGAGGGATGATTTTCTCAAAAAATCGGAACATTAAGGGACTCGCCCTAATACGAGCAGTCTTGTTGTTGTTGGAGGTTATTAAGTAAAGCACATTCAGTGTTGCTTGGTTTTTTGAGAGTCGGTGAACGTCAATAAGACTGTTATATAGGTCGTAATGATATATATTTTTTGTTCATAAAAAGTCTCAAAATTGTTCAGGCTCAAATCCACTTTTTCGGGGTTTGACTTTTGATTCTGTTCAAGTTTAATTCATTTTCTTTAATAAATGGAAGGCAAACTCCAAAAGTGTCAAGGTCACGACTTCTAGTTTCGAAAATGGAATTTAGTTTTCAGTTTTCCCAACGAAATACAAAATTTACCTTTTGACCCATTTTTCTCAAATTTTATCGATAAAGTGCCAATGATAAATTTTTCTAGAAATTCAAAGCGCTTTGAGGGCATCTATTTTCGAAGTTCGAAGATTTTTTCAAAAAACAAGTCGGTATCTTTTTCTGTTTCATTTTCTTCAGTGACTGTTCCAACAGTTTGTTGGCTATGTTTTTAGTATAGCATGGGTGAGAGTAGGAGTTGTTAGGCGTTAGTAAATTCAGTGGTGTTTTGACAGCAAAGCTAAAGGTTCTGATCTCGGTTTTGCCCTTGTAAAATTCTTGTGTGTTTAGTTCTCGTGTGGCAACTAGACAGTTTTTTACATATCGGGAAGCAGGCTTTTTTCTGCATGTTTTTTTTGAAATTACCACAATGGTTGGAATCCCTTAGATGGCAACGTTTTGAACATTTAAGATGTATTTGGTTTCAATTAAATCTTTCAGCAATGTATCTTTCATTAACCGAGTTAGCTGGTTGTGATTCATACGGAAGTCAGCTGGTTATGCTTTTCTTTTGTGTAGTTGAACTGAACTGGTGTTAGGATATCAAGTAATTTTGCAATGATTTCAGGTAGCACAATAGTAGCAAAGAAAATGTCAGCCCCAACTGAACTGTCATGTGCTGTGTCTGGAATTTTGAGTGTAGTAGTGTTTGCTGCCATGCAAGTGTTGCAGGACATGTTCAAGTCTTCCGAGCTCGGAACTATCGGCGGTGGACTAGTCGGTTCAATCCTCTTCCTTTTCATCCTTACCTTCATTAACAATCTAGAGAATATTCTGCTCGACAAGGGATTCGCATCGTCACTTTTCGAAGTGGCAGTGGCTGTTGGCTTAGCTGTTTTCTCGTGCTCTCTTATCCACCGAGTTTGTGCAACTACTTGTATGATATTCAGCATGATAGTTTTGTTCTACTTGAATAAATTGTCCCATGGAAAATATGGAGCATCGCAGGCACAGGCTTACATTGCTTCGCAGACCAGAGCGAACAAGAAGAAGAACTAGTTCTGTTATTTGGACAAGTATCCGTTATTCTGATTGCAGGGAAATGGAAAGAATACAAATCATGTTAGAGAGAAATGCTTGATGTATCAAAAATATTGCTGTAACATATGGTATCATTATCTTGTTTTTTGTCCTTTATGCTATTAGGGATTAATATTTTTTGAATTATGAAACAGTTGGGAAAAAGGTAATTGTGACTTGACAAAGTTCATGTAATATTTTCATGTGTAATGTTTGTATATTAAATATATTCTGTGATCTTGTCGTTATCCAATTTCTTGGTTGGTAGAGATTGGCAGTTACTTCTGTAGGTGAGATTGGGTCCGTGTCCATGGGGCTTCATATTTAGTCTAGACACCTTTGTACACGTCATAAAAGGTTGTTACTACTCTACTTCAGTCTAATGCTTGTTTATTTTTACTGCAGTTTAAAGTAGAGAGTCGTAACCTATATTTAAGGAATATACTTGCCCTTTTTTCAATGGGTCAATTTTGAAAATGCCAGTAAAAAACGACTGCGAGTTATTTTAGATAGTGTAAACATGCGAAATTATATGCTGGTATAGTTTTTAAATTTTCTATTACAAATATTAAATCAGTAGTCGTTCTTTTGAAAATTGGTTACTTGTTTGAGCGTGAAAAATTTTCGGTCATCGCCTGAAGTGAAGGAAAAAAGTTGTAAAATTACGTCTAACCTCTTCCAGAGTTCAATTTTATTGACTCTAATTCACTGAGAGCACTTTGTAACCATTTTGTTAATCGATTCTCTAAAACTCTCGGTTGGTTTATGTGCCACTTTAAAATTAAGTGCAAATTGTACCTATTGATTTTCACGAAAGTTGTGTTCTAGCTATGCTCCAGGTGTTTCAAATTTGATTGATTGAGAAGTTTGAATCACTCATAGCTCGTTTCGCAACTATTGTTTTGTCTTATTATTCGTAGTAGCTCGCCAAAATAAAAGTTTATTGAGTTAATTTCTCAACTAAGATGCGATTCTTGCTCAATTGAATGTCAAAATAATCAATTCATTTCTTCCACATTCATAAAGTTTGCGGTTTGATAATTGTTGTGGTTAACTGAAATATCAGTCAGGTTTATTTTTTGCCTTGCTTTCAGAAATTAGTTATCATTAGAACATTTTTTGTATTTGAGTGAATTGTTTTTATACATCCTACACGCCGCAGCCCAACACCAACGCAAAGATGCTCGAATCTTTTTCGAATTGTAAATATGTTCTATCCCAGTTCTTGTGTCCGTCATCAGTTGCGTAAGTTTCATGTTGATCCATTTTTTCGAAATAAAGCAGCTTGTAAATTCAAGTAATTTTAACGTAATTATCTACAATAATCACACCGTACCAGACTACTCATGGTCGGAAAGACTGCATTTGGGTCATTTAAACCGCATCCAGACAATTCGGGCAAAGACAATTCAGCCGATTTGAAATTCGGACAATTCAGCCAAATGTATGCAGACAATTCAGCCAGAGACAATTCAGCCAATAATAGTGACCGCCGCAGTCGCGCCAACGTGTTGTGAGCTTGCCAACAGAGGGTAGGACTCTACGAAATTTAGAGCCGGTTATCGCGGCGACGCGCGCCCACCGGCGACTTTAAACCGAGAAGTAACTCATACTCCGATTTTTTTTCTTAGAGTTTTTGTAAAACTGGCTGAATTGTCCGTATATTTTTGGCTGAATTGTCTGAATTTCAAATTGACTGAATTGTCTTTGGCCGAATTGTCTGTGCGCCCATTTAAACTAATATTGAAGTGTTCCGATTTTGTCCAATGGCTTTGTGTGATCGTCAACTTTAACAGAACCTTAACAACTTGGGTAAAAATCGGTATCTAAATTGAAAAAAAACATGTTCGGATTGATACCAGTTTTTTTATTACATTTCAGGTTACTACTATGATAGAGTAGTCCCACAAAAAAAGCAACTATGATAGACAGGTCCTGCATGCATTTCGCATGTTATAATTTTGAAAACTAATTTGTGACTATAATCATTTCAAAAATTTCGCGAATTATGTTCAGATTGACCATTGTAATTACTATCTGGTTTATATCAAAAAATATGCTCGCTTCAACTTATTTTACGGTTTAACAACCATAATTGGGTTGACTTATTTGTCTTCAAAACTCAATGTTGGGGGTTTTGCATTTTCTACCTTGAAACGGTGAGATTGTGAGGTTTTAAACAAAATTCATTTGAAAAAAACCTGTGACATCTTTCTGAATTGCGCAATTATAAATTTTAAATTATTTGATAGCTCTGTGTCTTATTTTCAAGGGTTCTGGTTATTTTCAAGGGACCAACATAGTGGTACCCATTTCAAACCGGAGTTGCGCCTTTGTTGGTGAGAAATTGAATTGAAGTGGTGAAATCAAGTTATAATTTTGAAGTTGGTTCCAAATTATCAGTATTACGCTCATGATTAGCAAGCGTTATCAAACTGGAATAAAAACTTTTTTTCTAATAACAATTAGTTTAACAAAATCAGTTGAATCACTTGCTGAGTTGGAGGAAAAGGCTGCTGACTTCTTTTCTATGCAGCTGACTTTTGTTCAGTTATATTCTCTTTTACTAACCTTATAGGTTGTTTCCCCTTGACCTGGAGGGAGGGGGGGGGGGGGGGGGGGTAATCCTTTGTTTCCTGTTTGCTAGCTTGCAATCCTGTTTTTGTGTGGTATCGCAATTGGCGCGAAGCTCTGCTTCGCTTCTGTATGCAAATATAATGGAGAAAAATAGAGCGTTCTGTTATACTTCAAACGTTTTTGTAATGGATAGTGTTGGTTGGATATTTTATTTTTTTAAGATCTGTTTTTAAAGTTTTACATTGTTCAGCTTCTCATCATCTTTGGGTTCTGTTGCATAAAACGTACGCTTGTGGCTAGCATTGGTAGTTCAATTCGTTCTAGATTTTCCCTTCAACAACCAATGAATGTATTAAACTTGACGTTAGGTTCCGAACTTACTAGTTGAAAATTAGTTCTCGTACAAATACAATACAGGGCTGTTCCAACAACTAATTATGGAAAGTTTTGTACTTGATAAGAAAAAAAAAGTTGATACCGATCCCCCAAACTTCCTGAAGCTCGCTATTCACAGGCACCCCTATTCGGTTTCATAAACAAAACTAGCTTATTCGCCTTAAAATTACTGTTTGTACTAACTGTCCCATCCGTTGAAGCCTCTCTAACATCAGTAGAAATAATTTTTGGACATCAACAGAATTGATTGTGATTGCCGAAGACGCTTTGAAAACCATATACAAATATTTAAACGACTTGAAACATGCAGGCACTTCACATATTACGGCAAAATCCTTGCATCTAGGTAAATTATTTCAACAAAAAACAAATTTGATCAGCTTTTCATTGCTTAATACAAACATCACGAATTTTGTGGGCTCGGCGTTGAATAGCTGAATTAGAATTTTGATCTAACAGTTCTGGAATTAAGAGTTTTTAAACTAATCTAATCAAATTTAAAGTTGACCTGGTCATATATATGACGGTACGTCAAACAATAAAGATCATCTCAGAATGTAGCCTTGATATTGATCGCAATGAAAATTTGAGCAGTTCATTCACATGCAGCTCGTGGACCGTTAAAAAACTTTCATTATAAAAAATTTGTCGAATGCTTTCAAATTTTTATTTGGAGAAAAGTAATCCAATAGTTTTGTTGGATCATAAGAAGGGGCAAAAATTTTGTGTAGGAAATGCAATCATACACCAACTTTCCATTGTGCAAGTATTATCATGATAATAACACTAAAAATACGTTTAGTTTGCAATGCTGTTCTTAGAATATCCTGCATTACTTCGAATCACGAGTGTGATGTACGACTTTGCGGTTCGCTTTGCTACCTCATTTTGCGTTAAAAAAAAGAACACGAGTCCCAATATTCTCATCACTTTCAATGCTTGAAGCAATATTATTAGGCTTCTGATTAGTAAGCGTTATCAAATCGGAATGTAGACAACTAGTTAAACAAAATCAGTTATTCAAGTTGGTTCAATTAGTAGTGATCATAGGCGATTTTTTTCGGTTCAGCTGATGTCTGCTCCAAAATTGTCGGCCTTTTTTCCGGTTCGTAAGTTGCTAAATTGAATTTCAATTCACTTGCTGGGCATGTTTGCCTAAAATTCCTGTTTGATAAAAGCAAGTATTATGAAAATGTATGGCATTGCGTTTCTTAATTTTTTTGAGACGCTTTGGCAAATTTTACCACTTTCTACAAAAATTTTAATTTTTTCTTGAAAACATTCTACCGAATTTCAAAAAATGGTATCCTTAGCAAGATGTTCTGCACCCTTGTGTGCGTGCATACTCCCCTGGTCTCTTTTTATTTTACCCCTTGTCATCATCCTTCGGTCTACAGACCCATATTTTTGATTTTTCTTTCATTTTCTCGCAAACTAGCCTACTCAATCTAAAGTTTTGGTTTCATTGAATAGAACGGATTTCAAAAGCTCCCCTTTATGAACGGCTTCGCCCAAATGTTTTATACACAAAATTATGGCCTTGGGAATAGTCAGTTTTGTGATTTTTTGAGCGTTTTTTTCTAAATTTTATTAGTTTTACGAAATACCCACGCGAATCTGAGATTTTGAACGGGCTGTGTGAAGCTCCTTTGCATAGGCGACTACGGTCAGATTTCTTTGACAAAATTATGGACCTCGGAAATGTCAAAAATTTGATTTTTCCGACCGTTTCTTGAAAAGTTTCTGGAGAACCACCATGCCAAACTTGGGTTTTTGGGTTCAAACAAAAAACAGGTTGAAGGAATTTCTTCTGGATAAATGGCTACGCCCATTTTTCTTGAAGAAAAAGCTATGATTATCGGAACTGTTAACCAGCTAATTTTTTGACTGTTTTTAGTTTTTGTCTTAGTAACTATCCTGCCAAATCCGATATTGGTTTAATCGACACAACAGGTTGGTGAAAGCTCATCTTTATCATTTGCTACGTCCAGTTTCTTTTAGGAAAA